CTGACTGAAACATACTGCTGAGGGAGCAGCAGGCAGGTCAGGAGAGGTCTGCCACATCATGTGGGACACCCCTTGGCCGGGACTGAACTCATGCTGAAGTGGCTGCAATAGCTTCATAGAGCTGTGCTTTAACCTGTTGTGCCACTAGGGGCTCTAAAGTAGCATAAATTTTAATTTTAAAAAATAATGAATGTATCCTCATTGCAGCTTCAAAAGGAACAAAATGAAATTCCCCTTCACCCTCCAATCAATCCTACTTCTCACTTAGACAGTTAACAGGCCCTCCCTTGTGGCGCAGCAGGTTAAAGCACAGCACTGAGAAGCTAAAGCCACTTCTGCATGAGTTTGATTCCCGCCTGCCCCGGAGGTAACCACATGGTGTGACAGACCTCTCTGCTGCTCCCCTCAGCAGTGTACTTAATCGATCTGCCTGTTTTGCTCCCCACTCTGTCTCTGGTGAAGCCTCTCATCGCCCCTGCACCTCTGGCCTGTACCCCAGCTCTGTATGGATAAATAAATCTTTAAGAAAAAAAAAAGACAGTTAACAGATTGGTGCTTATTCCTTCTGATCTTTTTGGCTGTATTCACATGCATATATACAGCTATCTGTTTCAGTTTGTAACATAAACTGATCTTCAGAATGTATTCTTCAGATGACTTTTTGATGACTTTTTTTAAGATTGGTTTATTTACGAATATAGAACTGAGGTACAGGGGCAGTGAGAAGATTCGTCAGAGACAGAGTGGGGAGCAGACTGACAAAGTACACAGTTGAGGGGAGCAGCGGGCGGGTCAGGAGAGGTCTGCTGCGCCATGTGGGTCACCACCCTGACCCAGGGTGGAACTGGTCCTGAAATGGCTGCGGCTAGCTTTGTAGTGCTGCACTTTATTAAACCATTGGGCCACCAGGGAGGGCCAGTATATTGTCTTTTAGAATGTAAGTTTACAAATGCAGCTAAACTTAACAGGTGTTAAAGAAATTAAATACAGACAAATTTAAAAACTAACCCTTGTAAGTCAACTACAGGATTGAGGCATCCAGGGCCAGAACGGGAAGGACAAGAACAAAATGGAGTACAATGGACTATGGTGATAGACTAAGAGTGCTTTGGTGGTGACTGTGCTATCGTAAATACACTGGAAGGCGAGATCCTGTACTTCTCAAACACCAACAGCATCAATCAACATTAACTCAATTAAAAAAAAGAAAAAGGCCCTCCCAGGTGGCGCAGCGGGTTAAAGCACTGCATTGAGAAGCTAAAGCCACTTCCGCATGAGTTCGATTCCCGCCTGCCCCGGAGGTGACCACATGGTGTGGCAGACCTCTCCTGACCCACCCGCTGCTCCCCTCAGCAGTGTGCTTCGTCGATCTGCCTGTTCTGCTCCCCACTCTGTCTCTGGTGAATCCTCTCACCCTCCGCATCTCTGGCCTGTACCCCAGTTCTATACAAATAAATAAATAAATATTTAAAAAAAAGAAAAAAGAAAAAATTTCGGGCCCTCCCTGGTGGCACAACTGGTTAAAGCACAGCACTAAGAAATTAAAGCCACTTCAGCATGAGTTCTATCCCTGACCCGGAGGTGATCCACATGGGCTGGCAGAACTCTCCTGACCTGCCCTCTGCTCCCCTCAGCAGCGTACTTCATCAGTTCTGCTCCCCACTCTATCTCTGGTGAATCCTCTCACCACTCCTGCATCTCTGGCCTGCACTCCAGTTCTGTATGTATTAATAAGTAAATCTTTAGGAAAAAGAAAAAAAAAAGAAAAAAGTTAAGGACTGCAGATGAATACAAGGAAAGTTGCAGTTACCTTCAGCTCCTGAAAAATCTTTCACTTCAAAAAGGAAGAAAGGGCGGGTTGGAAAGGGCAATTTCTCTAAATGGGAAACATAATTTGTGAAGGTCTTGAGTGGATCTGGAAATACCCTTGTTGACCACACTGTATACAAGTTGAAAAACTCCCCACTGTCTTTCATTTTCCCTGAAGAATTTGTTCAAGACACACTGTTCTGGGTTCTCCATGAAAATTTCACTGCTTGAAGCCTCCCTAGTGGCACAGGGATTAAAGTCTCAGTACTACTAAGCCAGCAATTGATGCAAGAGCTAGATCCTGGCCAGGGAGGTGACCCACATGACACAGCATACCTCTCCTGTCTTGTCCATTGGTCCGCTTTGCAGTGTATTTCAGTAAATCTGCCTATTATGCTCCCTACTCCGTCTCTGGGGAATCCTCTCACACCTACCTCCCCCACACCTCTGGCCCACACCACAGTTCTTTTATGCATAAATAAATAAATAAAATCTTTTAAAATAAAATAAAATTTCACTTCTAAAACTCTTTCAACCTGGTGAAAGACAGAAGAGTCTATTGTCACTTTTTCAGAACAATAATTTAAACATATAAAATGATAAACACAGGATTACAAAAGGCCCAATGTCTATCATACACAGACACACAAATATATATATATATGTATAAATGTATGTGTACATATATGGAAATATACATGCATGGATGTAGAAATGTAGTCATACATGGCTGTTCATGCCAAAGTCTTGGAGGCCTCCTATTAACCTCCTCCCTCACCTACTATGTAAAACCTATCATGCCAGCTATAGCAACCAAAAATATCTCCAGAAATTGTCAAATGTCCCCTGAAAGGCAAAATCATTCCCATTTGAAAAGAACTGCTAGTAAAGGACTATCAGAGAAGAAAACAACCACTCAATGAAATGAAAACACAAGCTGAATGTATTGCTTGATACAGACAGCAAAAAGCACACTGGTCACATCCAAGCTTCAAGTAGATCAGATTGCTAATCCTATATTGGATTTTGAAAAGGGGGGAATTTGGGGGTTGGAGATCTTTCAGAGATCTAAGTGTGTTGACATCAGTTGTACGAGTGATAATTTGGTGTGAATATTGTTGATGGATAGCAATCAGAGAAAGATTTGTTTCTTTGAGATTGTCTGATTTTCAGAATCAAAAGGTTGTCACTGATTGAGCCTATGCTCACTGCAGTGGTAATCACTGATTGATTGAACTTAAAACTGGCTCTGATTTCTGGCTGTTATCTTGGGAATATGGGAACTTAAAAATATTCCTTGTACTCTATATGCTATTGTGTAGAAGTGGTGGTTGAAATCTGTGAGAGTTCTCTTCTGATTGATTTAATTTTCTAAGTGGAATTGGAAACAAGTCATCAACAGATAGAAAGAGCGGGTAGGTAGAGGTAATAGAAATCTAAGGAGAGAGATATAAAATAGTTATCTATGAAAGTGGGAGAGGAAGTTGATGAAGGAAATGCAGTATGATTACTGGGCAGAATTAAAGGCTCATTTGAGGTCAGTAATATTAAGTGAGGCAACTCAGCAAGCTGAATTATTTTTCTTCAACCTGACTGATACAAGAATAGTGGTGGAGACTTGAATTTAACTGTTACTGAGGTTCTGCCCAGTGTGTGTTATTAAAGAGAAAATTGAGAGGACAGTCAAGAGAATGTATTATTTTAGCTTATTTATTTTGTTTTTATTATGCCACTGTTAAACACAGTATATTGTAGGAAGATGATATCAAAACCAAAAGTCTATCACCAAATCCAATAGTTATATACACTTTGCAATCTTCCTTCATTTTTTCTTCCACACATTTTCTTTTCCTGATGAATGTTAAAGCAAATCAAATCCAGACACCACACCAGTTCACATGATAATACTTCAAGATGTATCTCTAAGAAGTAAGGACCTCTAAAAACTACAATCACATCATTATCACAAATAGCAAAGCTAATACTACTTTTTTAATATTGTCTAATTCCTAATCCATATTCAAATTCTGCAAAGGAATGATGATTAACGGTAAAGAACTGAAGTTAGAAAAGAAATAAGGAGGCTGGGCCCTCCCTGGTGGAACAACGGGTTAGGACTAGAAGCGCAGCTGCTTCAGTGCAAGTTTGAGTCTTGCCCCTGGAGGTGACCCACATGGCATGCAGACCTCTCCTGACCGGCCTGCTGCTCCCCTCAGCAGTGTAATTCATCAATCTGCCTGTTCTGTCCCCCACTCTGTCTCTGGTGAGTCCTCTCACTGCCCCTGAGCCTCTGGCTTGTATCCCAGCTCTATATGCATACACACACACACACACACACACACACATACATACATGCATACATAAATAATAAATAAATAAGAAATAAGGAGGCCAAAGAAGTTAAGGACAGGAAAAGGAGACCAATAGGAACAGGAAAGGAGGATAGGCAAATAGTTCCAACAAGGGCTGGAGGGGTCTGGGATGATCTCACTTTAATCTTGCCCATTGCTCAGTCACATCAGTCTTCTTTTTCAGTTGATTCTATGAGAAAAATTCCTTTCATTTTGGGGTGTTGGAAGATTCTGTGCAGATCTCTTTTATTCTCAAAAAAAATCTGCAGAATAAATTAGAGCCTTCTTTTAGGCCATGGGGGCTTCTTTGGGGGGATTATAATCACAATTTCAGAACTAAATAAACAGAAAGGTAACTTGTTCGATGTCTAACGGCTGTCACTGTCAGTGCCTCAGAGAGCGTCTATTAGAATACATTCATGTATTTGTGGGACATATAGGGGAGTGTTCAATAATGTCAAATGCCACAAATTTCCAAACCACCCATTAACTGAGCTTCTAGGTAGAATTCTAAATTATGTCCTCTAGAGTGACGGTCGCCATGTCTTCTCTTTTAAAAAGATAAAACTTAGGAGAGTCATACGAATAATTACTCTAAGACTAAGGCGGGTCCTTCATCACTGCTGAATATGGAGGACAACACACCAAAACCTCTCACCAACCCCCAAACACTCTCTCATACATTAAAAAAAAAGACTCATCCAGGCATTATCCTAAACAGCACAGCTCTTCTGCGGTGGCCTGCCTCATTCTTTGACAGGAGTTCATTTCGTTCTATGATGGCCAAGAGGAGGTGGACCCCTCAGGAGGACTATGCGGGTCGCTTGGCTAAAATCTCCAGAGGACGATCTCAACCGCCCAGAACGGAAGTTCCCGAATCGTCAAACCCGCGGGGAAGCAACTCGGCAACGGACCAAGATGGCGGCGCCCACTGAGGGACCACCGTTCGCCGGGGTTGTTGAAAAGAATTGGGGCGCACTTGTTCGCTCCCCAGAAGGGACTCCCCAGAAAATTCGGCAGCTGATAGATGAGGGGATTGCCCCGGAGGAGGGAGGAGCAGAAGCGTGAGTTCGCGAGTTCTCTCTGGGTCCGACCCTGAGAACTCAGGCCTGGGGGCGTCTCCTAAATCGGCCACGGGGGCGGTGGGGAAGGCTTCTTCCTGGGGGCTGAAAGAGGCTGGGGTTGCCACTCTTTGATGGTTTTAATCTTTTGGGAATGTAACACTGGAGGCTTCATCACTGTGGAAAAAGGGGTGGGCGGGGGGGCTCACTGAGTGTGCGCTCCTGTCTTAGCTGGACTTCCTAACCTTATTGAGGCTTAGACACCCTCGGCATCCTGGAAAGCTCATGCCCTCCTCAGAATATCTTTAAATGCCTAAAGTGAACTTAAAAGGACATTATAAAGAGTTATAAAGGAAACTAATTATGTTGGAATGCAGTTATCAAGATAGTAAAGGAAAGTGATGCAATAACATGCTCCCTTTTAAAGAGTTTAATATCAAATATAATAGTGAGTCTATTTACCATAATTTTGAGGCAGTGATGGGCATATCTGTTATATCAGAACATGGACAGCAACCAAAATGTGGTGACAAAATATCTGGTTTCCATTGGTGACAGGTTCACAGGTACAGCTGACTCTACCATGAGTTTTTTGGTGTTTTTTTTTTTTAATTAAATTTAATTACCTTCATTCACAATTGAAGGAAATGCTAAATTTCAGTTAGTGGTTAGTAAAATAAATGTCATTTTTTTCCCATTTAAGTTTATGGTTCCGCTGCATTTTCTAAAGAATCACATCTTTCTGAGACTCTTGACTTTCTGAAAAAGAGACTTAATTCCTATTAGCTTATGTAGTGTAATTCTGTTGTTAAAACGACTCTTCAGCAACCTCTCCCACTTCCCATTCCTAGGCACTGAGATAATTTGTTTGCTGGGTTTTTTTGTTTTTGTTTTTGTTTTTACTCCCTGTATGTTTTTTATGAAGTCTGCCAAAGCGCTTTACTTTGATTTGAATTTTCTAATTGGTTCATTTTGGGAAAGAGTATCAAGAGTTGATCTAGGTGGATAAATTGAACATACCATTAAAAATCAAAGTTAGTTTTTCTACTGTTAAAAATGTTAAGTTTTAAGGTAGTTCGAATTGTATAATACATAGGAGCTTTAAGTCTTATTTTGTGTTTACTAAAGTTATACAAAATAGTGTTGGAGAATAATGAGTGGGTTAGAATATTTTGCTGCATAGTATTAGTAGAGCACTGTAAAGATAGAAGTTGCTCAAAAGTTCAGTGTGGTCAAATAAAGATATTTGGATGCCAGACCGAAGACTGTGAATTCTACTTAGTAAGTATTGTGAAACTTTTAAAAATATTAAGCAGATTAGTAAGAAACATGGCTATGAGGAATATATGAAGTTGGGAGGATAATAGTATAAAAAGACTAGGTCTTAATAGGGCAGTAGAAATTAAGAGTATTAAGTGTACTGGATATTCTTCTATAGTTAACCCTTAGGCAGTAATTACAATACAAAATATTAATGCTAAGTAGCCTGCTTATTGGCAAGCAAAGATAGATCTGGATAAATCTTGACCTATCTAGCAAGAAGCATAAAAGATGGAAAGAAGGCTGAATAGATCTCCGAAGAAATAATAGTCAAGAGGCACTGCCTATGGTTAATGGAAGAATCGAAACTTAAAAGTGTCACTTGAAATTGTAGTGGTGACCAGTGGAGAAATAATGACTGACTAATTTAGGAAGAAAAAGGAAACTAAAAAGGAAAAATAAGGGAAACCAATTGAGGTAGTATAAGAGGGTTAAGTATTCATCTAGCATAACAGCCAATAGATAACATTAAAAGTTAATAAAATAAAAATAAAAATGAATCAGCATGCTTGGCTATACCTATTAAAAAAGAAGAAGATGTTGAACAGAGACATGGCCTGATTGAAATGACTGTTAGATGAATTAAAATTCACTGTGGTGTATTTGATGATATGACATACAGAGAAGCTACATAGAAAAGATTTAGGCAAAGTGATACCAGGAAAGGATTATCAACAGTTTTGCCTCTTTATTTTAGGAAGGACACATCTGCCACATTCCAGTCAGTTAATGGGTCACCCCAAGCAGAACAACCTCCTTTGGAATCTACAAAGAAAGAAGCCTTCTTTAGCAGAGTGGAAACATTTTCTATATCCTTTTGTAGCTGATGCGAGTTTCATTTCTACCTGCCCCAGAAATTCTAATTCCTTTTGGTATTATATCACTTTGATGTTTTTAATTTCAGAATTAAATGTGGTAACAAATTTGGCATGACATTGAGATTGTTTAACCATTTTTTAAAAGATTTGTTTATGTATGCATACAGAACTGGGGTATAGGCCAGAGGTGCAGGGGCTGTAAGAGGATTTACCAGAGACAGAGTGGGGAGCAGAACAGGCAGATCAACGAAGTACCCTGCTGAGGGGAGCAGTGGGTGGGTCAGGAGGGGTCTGCCGAGTCATGTAGATCACCTCCAGGGCGGGGCATCAAACTTGACTGAGGCAGCTGCGGCTACCTTGCAGTGCGGTGTCCTAATCTGTTGCACCACCAGGGAGGGTCTAACCATTTATTTTTACAGAAGAAAAATCTAAAGACCTGAGAGGAGGTGGAATTATAACTAACACTTTTATATAGTGTGTTTTTACATATATTAGCACATTTGATCTTTACCTTAAACCTGTGAAATGGGTATTAATTATCATTATTGTGTTTATTTTACAAAGAGGATACATATTCAGGTAGGAAAAGTGTCAACCTGATAGCAAATGGCAGAGCCAAGATTTCATAGCCTAATGCTCGACCCAGACCTATTGTTTTTTGGGGGTATTAATACATTTCCTGTCTCTTGCTAGATTTTCCTCTGTATAGTAGTTGCTTGTTATAATAGTTACCAGCTACTAGCATTACAAAATACCCTAAAACTTAGTGGCTTAAAACAGAACTTATTACTGTTTCTGTGGATCAGGAATCCAGGCCCAGCCTCACTTGAGGTATTATCCAGGACTGTAGTCATCTCCAGGCTTTTCTAGGAAAGGACCCACTTCGTGGTCACTCATGTGGGCAACAGGATACGTTCCTTCATGGCTGTTGGGTTGAGGGCGTCAATTCAACTAATTCAATTAATTTAAGCCAGTTAAGTGATAATACTACTTTTGTTCCAGATAATCTCGTTTCCTTTAACACATTTATCTATAGTCTGTCTTCCAGTATTTAGCCCTTTTACTAATACTGGGATATTTTCAAATTCCCATGTCCCTTACAAAATTTTTGCATCTTTTGTCATCTTTTACCTTTTTACCCTGTGTCTGGTAAAATAAAGACAAAATAAGAATTTTTAAAATGTATTGACAAATTATAAAAAGTGAAATGTGGGATAGTAAGCTCATTAAATGATTTAGACAGATTAAGTGTGTTTATGGTGGTATAATCAAATTTCGGACGGGGAATAATGAAGAATATTATTTAGTTCTCTTGCTTTATTCTTGGAATATAAAAATAGAAGGGTTCAAGAGGAAAACATTGGTGAGTGGTAGAAAATATTTCTGTTTGTTGGACCTTCACCGTTCATATTCCTTAGACATATTCTGGTGCTTTCCTAGTGTTTTTAAATACCTAGTTTTTCATATTAATTGAAAGCAAATGGCTTCTATATTCTACCCCACAACCAATAATAACCACTTTAAACATACAAAATACATGAGGCTTCCTCAAGAAAATGTTCCTAACTTCTTGTCCTCTACTCATTACTCAAATGACCTTCATCCTGTAAGTTTATACCTGTCCTTTAAAAATACTTTTAAAACTTTTTTTAACTGCATTTTCCCTTTGTTAATGTGTTTATTTGTATGTACATGAAGAGTGAGTTAAGATGTTCCTTTATGACTTGTTCGTTTAATATACTTACAGTGTTGTTTTTCTTAACATGAATACTCTTTGAAATGGGCAGGTAAGCCCCTGGAGCTGTCTCCACTTGTCTGTGCCAGATATGGCTGGGTCACAGTTGAATGTGATATGCTCAAATGCTCCAGTTGTCAAGCTTTTCTCTGTGCTAGCTTCCAACCAGCTTTCGATTTTGACAGATGTAAGTATAAAGTACAAATGACATTTTTCTCCATATTCAAAAACACCCTGTAGTAGGTTTTCTGAAAAGATCAGTCACTTGTTTAATCAAGAATGTATATCACTAACTGTAACAAGATGGATTTGGATGATGATTATCTTAGTTATTAATTCCAGACATTGCCTTTTTAAAAAAAAATAAACGAGTGAACTTGAACTCATCTTTATATATTCTGGGAAGCTTCTAGCAAAGTGTGTATTGTTCCAAAATTTATGCTTAGGCAGAGCCACAGCACTTTTGTGAAAACACAAGCTTTGAAACACTCTTCTTTGATATGAATCTTAGGGTCTTTCTTGGAACTTGTTTTGTGGAAAATATTAAGATGATGCAGATGATATTTTCATATTCTTTTAAATTCTCATAGTTTTCTTTATTTTCAGTCATATCTGTATTGTTAAAGACTCTTGGCCACTGGATTTTGGATCTGTATGTTTTTTAAGACATTGCTACCTGTGTGGGTTTCAGATAAGGACCGATGTGCTGAGCTGAAGAAAGCCTTGAGTACTGCCCATGAGAAGTTCTGCTTCTGGCCCGATAGCCCCTCCCCAGGTATTTATTTTCAAGAGCTCCTAGTTGCTGGCTGTTCTTTGTCATTGTAGTTCTTATATCATCTGTGTCTTGGTGAAAATCTCATTTTGAAGTTTCCTTTCAAGAACTTATATTCATCCAGTTATTGTTATTTAACATTTGTAATGCAGTTGACAAGCCAGTGGCATACTTTACCCCATTTAGTCCTCAGAGGGACTCTGGAAGGTAGATAATATCAACCTTAATTTTTTTCTTAAAGATTTATTTATTTATGCATACAGAACTGGGTGTACAGGCCAGAGGTGCAGGGGTGGTGGTGAGAGGAATCACCAGAGACAGAGTGGGGAGCAGAACAGGCCAACTGGTGAAGTATGCTGCTGAGGGGAGCAGGGGGTGGGTCAGGAGAGGTCTGCCATGCCTTGAGGGTCACCTCCAGGGCAGGGATTGAACTCATGCAGAAGTGGCTTTAGCTTCTTAGTGCTGTGCTTTAACCTGCTGCGCCACCAGGGAGGGCCCTACCCTAATTTTTTGAGATAAACTGAATCAGAGGTCCCATAACCAACTAATGAGGAATGGTAACCATGGTTTAACCCAGTTTCAGATTCTCTGCTTTTCCTACCATTACAAGCAGCCCCATGTTCTAACCAAGCTTTCTTTAGAAGGTGTACCTATAGCACGAATGGTGTCAGTTAAGCAGGGTCTTGTTACCAGTTAAGACTCAGAGGACGCCAGATGAGAATGATTACAATCTACAGTTTATTACTGTAAAATGACACAGTACAGTAACAGCCTTGAAGTAAGGATATCATCACAGCCAAAGACTGCCCTATATTAGCAAGGGGCCTGGAGAGGCAAAGACAAGCGCCTGTTAACCTCCCTACTTAAGACCCATAGCAGGACACATTCTGTCTTTAATCAGAAATCACTGTTGTGTACACAAAACAAGGAATATGTGTGTTCTTTTAGAAAATGGGAGCCCAAAGTATAATCTCAAGTAAAATTTAAAAAAATTTTTGTGGGCCTCCCTGGTGGTGTAAAAGGCTAAGTCTTACTTAGCTCTATCACGCTATCACCAACCACTGCAGCATGAGTTTGAGCCCCGGCCAGGGAGCTGACCACATGGTGCAGCAGGCCTCTTTTGTCTCCCCTGCTGCTCCCCTCAGCAATAGATTTCAGTTATTCTGACTGTTCTGCTCCCTACTCATCTCTAGTGAATCCTCTCCCCTTCTCCCTCTCGACTCCGTACCTCTGGCCTATTATACCCAGCTTTTGTATGCATAAATGAATAAAATAAATCTTACCCAAAAAAGAGTTTTTTGCTGGGCATATAAGCATATCCTGCTGAGTAATATGTCTCAGCCAGCGTGTTCTGAGGGGCACACTGAGATCAGCAATGAAGGTCTTTAGATCCATGGTTGCAGAGCAGCTTCAAGCACAATTCATGCCTCCATCAGGAATCAGTGCCATGTGGGTTATATTGTTGTATTTTAATAGGCCTGTTCAGACTAACTCCCAGGTCACTGATCCCACCAGCATTCCATGAGTGGCCACTGAGGAGAAAAAAATAGATCAAAAGTGATCAGTAGATTACCACCCATTGATAAATGAAGAAGCTATGGAAAGGGATTATTAAGACATAGAGATTTTTGAAGTGAAATTGCCTGCAGAAGTAGGTTTGCCTGCTGTTGGCTGTGGCCTAACAATTTCACTGTACAGGACAACAGGACTCCGCACTGTGCAGATGTGACCCCCCTCTGTCCAGTGCTCTCATTCAAGGTGCTTAGCGCCTGCCCAGAGATCTGTTGGTGAATCCCACTCTTACTACAGTACACTCTGCCTTCTCTATGCCAGTCCTAATTCAGCTGCCACCTACTTGCAGACCCCTAACTCCTGTCTGCAATTCTTTTGAGCTTAATGCATAATTTTTTTTTTTAAGAGAGGTACCCACATAGTCACAGGGAGGTAGAGAGCTGTCTTTTTCACCATCTCTTTTCTTTTTTTAAAGATTTGTTTATACATACAAGAACTGGGAATAGATCAGATGAGTATGAGGGAGTGAGAGCATTCACCAGAGTGGGGAACAGAACGAGCAGATTGACTGAAATACACTGCTGAGGGGAGCAGTGGGAGAAGTGAGGTCTGCCATGCCATGTGGGTTACCTCCCTGGCTGGGAATTGAACTCATGGCTGTGGTGAGCTTCACAGTGCTGTGCTTTAACAAACCCTTGTGCCACCAGGGAGGGCCCAGATGCATAATTTCAACTGCCTTCTAAACATCTCCTCTTCATATATAGCAGGTACCTGGAACTCACCATATACAAAACTGAATTCTTCATCTTATTTTTTGAATTTGCTTCTTATATTTCTTCTTAGTACATGGTTCTGACTGCCTCCACCCTCCTAGCTAGAAACCTGGGTCACTTAAGTTACCTTTCCTATCATTACTACCCAGTCCTGTCCATCCTGCTTCCTAGGTTATCTCAAATATGACCTTTTTACTACTGTTTGGCTTGGTTCTTTCACATTCTTAGTGATAATTGTGCCCAGATCCAATAATTCCCTCAGTCTTTGCCCAGGTGCTCCACGAGCATGCTGGGTACTTTTTTAGTGCTGCAGCAGGCAATTCCTAATTTTGCTTAAGCTTTCACTTCCTGTTTGTATAGCATCTTGAAGTCAGCCAAAGGTGAGAGGTTCAGGCCTTTTCAGGTCTTTCCTGGCCAGGTACACAACCTAGATTCTAAGGAATGTGTCCGAGCTTTTCAACCCCTAACGGATGTCTCATTGTCTAGCTTTTCATCCAGCTTTTCATTGTAACGATTTTGGCTCGCACATTGTTTGCCTCAATTTTTATTGCTGCCTCAAGGCAACCACAATGTTAAAACATTATTTTCCCTTAGGAAAAAGCTGCTAACACTGGGCCAGTGGGATTTTCCAGGCAACTGCCAGATTGATGGAATGATGACAGTCACCGCACGGGGCCTTGGAGGTGCTCCAACCCCTGCAATTCCTCCGGTGACCGTTAAACTGTTGCTTTTCATCATTGTGGTGAGGCTGTTGCTTTTCAAGGCTCCTGTTGGCTGAGCTGGGAAAAGAATAATGGCAATAGGGCAATTTAAAATGCCATGTAGCTCACTGTAGCTCACTGTTCTTACGAAGGTTCATCCATTTTTCTTGAATAAGTGCTTCCCAGATTATTACAAACCTTTGGTTAATTTCTAAAGTTCCCAGAGATTTTGTCATTTTTTGCTAATGTTCTCATTGCTTTTATAGAGTTTCAGATTATCAGTCGGTGGTATTTATGCTGACATTCCTGCCGAAGGAGTTCCCAAATTAAAATAGTAGGCATGCACTTAATAGAAGAAACGAAATATTTAGAAATATTCTGAGCCCTCCTTGATGGTACAAGGGCTTCAAGCACCACACCATAAGGCCGTCCACAACCACTGCAGCACGAGTTCAACCCCCTGGCCAGCGAGGTGACCCACATGGCGCAGCAGACCTCTCCTGTCTCACCTGCTGCTCACCTCAGCAGTGTGTTTCAGTCAGTCTGCCTGTTCTGCTCCCCACTCTGTCTCTGGTGAATCCTCTCACTGCCCCTGCACCTCTGGCCTACACCCCAGTACTTGTATACATAAATAAATAAATAATTAAAATATATTTATATACACATAGCTGTTCTACTTATTCAGATTAATTTTAAGAATTGTTTTTCTTATTCTTTGGTGCTTTTTCTTTGCGTATCAGTAAGAACTCATGACCATTGTAATTAATTACAGTGTTTATTCTCTTACCTGAGTGACAGATACTCACTATTCAGGTAATGGATCTTCATTAAGTTCACTATTCTAAACTCTGGCGTTCCTAAAAGCATTTCTATTTTCTAGCAACAATAGAATATTCTAGATCCAACTTGATTTATGTTCCCTGCCCCAATCAGTAACTTTCCAAAGAACCGGATCCTTTTTTCTTTTAAGATTTATTTATGCATACAGAACTGGGGTGTAGGTGAAAAGTATGGGGAGGTGAAAGGATTCATCAGAGACAGAGTGGGGAATAGAACAGGCAGATCTTTTGAAATACACTGCTGAGGGGAGCAGTGGGGAAACAGGAGAGTTCTGCTGTGCCCTGTGAGTCACCTCCCTGGTGGCTGGGGATCGAATTCATGCTATAGTGTTTGCATGTAGCTTGATAGCGTTTCTTGAATCCCTGTGCCACCAGGGAGGACCTCCTCTGTTATTCTTTACTTTTTTTTTTTTTTTTAATAATTTGTGCCAATATGATCTTGTAGTTCACTTTTTCCACAGATCGATTTGGAATGTTGCCGCTGGATGAGCCTTCTGTGCTTGTTAGTGAATTCCTAGATCGTTTTCAAAGCCTTTGTCACTTAGAGCTCCAACTTCCTTCCCTGAGGCCTGAGGACTTGAAAACCATGGTGAGTCTTTCTTGGCTAGTCTATAGTAGACTTCATTTGTCACCAGCATTTGTACGTGAAGCCTCTCTTTAATGACAAGAGGAGGCAGACTGGTATGAAGAAAACTATTGTTCAGTGGGCTGTTCTCTGTCAGAAAGGCAGGTATTCTTTAAATGGCATAGATTCAGTTTTATCTTGATTTATTACCTAAACTGTATGACAGAAGATACTGGAACATGACTCCCTAGGGTTTATTGCATATCATCTTCCAGAGAAAGTATCAGAGGAGAACTTGTAAACTTACTTCTCCCTTATAAATAGGACTTTTGAAGTGCTCTGACCCTTCTATACTGTTTTTGTTGTTGTTGTTGTTTTTAAAGATTTATTTATTCATAGAACTCTGGAGTGTAGGCCAGACATGCAGGGGGTGAGAGGATTCACCAGAGACAGAGTGGGGGGAGCAGAATAGGCGGGTTTGCTGAAATACACTGCTAAGGGGAGACAGGCGAGGTCTGTATGCCAACCTATATGAGTCAGCTCCTTGACTGGGGAAGTAACTCAGGCCTTAGCAGTGATAGCACTGAGACTTAACCCCTAAGCCACCAGGCAGGCCCCCATCTCTACTTAGAAACTGAATAGTTACTATCCCATTCCACCACCATATGGGTACTTTGTGCCATCTTTACTACTAGAAGCTGCTATTTTGCTTCTTCAGTTTAAGAAGCTGCTAGACATTTTAGGACCAAGCTAATAACCTTTGATGCCCTTTATAAATATCACTCTGTCTCTAGCCAAGGCATATTTTTATATCTATCATAATTCTCTATTAGAACAAAAATAAAGATTATGAACAATAAGCTTTGTTGTTCTTTCAAGAAGTAAATTCAATGTAAGTCCAAGTGATAAACAAATCTGGGCCATCCGTGGTGGTGCAAGGGGTCAAAGCGCAGTGCTCTGAAACTATCTGTAGCCACTGCAGCATGAGTTCGATCCCCTGCCTGGGAGCTGACCCACATGGTGCAACAGACCTCTCCTGTCTCGCCTAATGCCCACCTCAGCAGTGTATTTCAGTAGATCTGCCTGTTCTGTTCCCCTTTCTGTCTCTGGTGAATCCTCTCATCCCCTGCACCTTTGGCCTGAACCCCAGTTCTTGTGTGCATAAATAAATAAATCTTACCCAAAAAAAGGGGAGGGGTCTGTTTCCCTTACTTGTGTTTGAAGTTTACAGGTTCATGGGAAAATCCGCAGTTGGTAATTGAAAACAAGTTAGCGCTAAGGAAAGATTTAGTAGTTCTAGGAAAAGAGCTGCTTTTCTCCATCAGCACATCAGAAAGCTGCGTGGTAGCTAAGTACTACCTGGGAAGTCAGTTTTCTCTGATAGGGAGATGTTTCATGTTTGTCATTTCTCTCAGGAATTTTGCCTTGTACCTCCTCTGTTGTACCATTGTCATTACTTTTCTTTTCATGGTGGATAAAGCTTTAAGTATTTTATTTTGGCTTCTTTGCAGTGCTTGACAGAAGACAGGATCAGTCTTCTTCTACACTTGCTTGAAGATGAACTTGATCACCGAACTGATGAGAAAAAAACTGTAACCAAATTAGGCTCAGACATCCAAGTCCACATCACTGCCTGTATTCTCTCGCTGTGTGGCTGGGCGTGTAGGTGAGCCCGTAACTTGTCTGGGGAGTGAACTGTGGCAACCTTTCACACCCATATACATGAGTCACTAACGTATCACATGGTGTTTCCTGTTCAAAAAACAGAGACAAAGAAACTGAGGGGGTAGAAAGAGCTTTAAGCATCAGTAATGAGGATCCTCCCTGCTGGCACACTGGTTAAAGCACAGACAGCACCATGAAGCTGGCCACAGCTGCTTCACTGCGAGTTCAGTCCCAGCCAGGGAGGTAACCACATGGCGCGGCAGACCTCTCCTGACCTGCCCACTGCTCCTCTCAGCAGTGTGCTTTGTCCATCTGCCTGTTGTGCTCCCTACTGTGTCGCTGGCGAATCCTCTCACTGCCCCTGTACTTCTGGCTTGTACCCCAGTTCTGTATGCATAAATAAATAAAACCTTTTTTTTTCCAAAGATTTATTTATTTATGCATACAGAACTGGGGTACAGACCAGAGATACAGGGGCAGTGAGAGGATTCACCAGAGACAGTGGGGAGCAGAACAGGCCGACTGATGGGGTACACCGCTGAGGGGAGCAACTGGCGGGTCAGGAGAGGTCTGCCACATCCTCGGGGCAGGAATCGAACTCATACTAAAGCAGCTTTAACTTCTTAGTGCTGTGCTTTAACCTGCTATGCCACCAGGGAGGGCCCAATAAATAGAATCTTTTTTTTCTTTACTTTTTTTAAAGATTTATTTATGCATATAGAACTGGGCTATAAGCCTGAGGTACAGGGGTGGTGAGAGGATTAATCAAAGTCAAGAGTGGGGAGCAGAGCAGGCAGATCAGCAAAGTACACTGCTGAGGGGAATAGCCGACAAGACAGGAGAAGTCCGCTATGCCATTTGGATCACCTGGGGCTGGGAGTAGAACTCACACTGAAGCAGCTGCGGCCACCTTGCAGTGCTGTGTCCTAACCCATTGTGCCACCCAGGAGGTCCCTTTTTTTTTCTTTTTAAATTTTTTTTATGTAATAGTTTGTTTCTACATCATTTTGTGCATTTAAATAAAATCTTAAAAAAAAATCAGTAACAAACATAGAATTAGAACTCAGAAACTCTTGAACACAGCTGAATTTTCCTTTACTTGTCACTTCCCAAGAGAGAATTTGTATTCCTATAACTATTGAAGCTCCTTTCTGTTCTTATAAAGAAAGAAAGATGGATTTAATTGATAAAAACTATCAGTGGAAACCCCAGCTGGAGGCCTGATGTTGGTGTTTCCATTCCAGTTGCTTAGTTTGGCATAAGCTCCCCTATTTAGAGAAGACTCAACCCACCTTGATTTACTTTAAAAATGCTTCCTTTGGAACTCTCCTGCACTGCTGGTGGGAATGTAAACTAGTATAACCACTATGGAAAACTGTTTGGAGGTTCCTCAAACTGCTAAACATGGAGCTTCCCTATGACCCAGCAATCCCACTCCTAGGTATCTACCCAAAAGACACAAAAACACTGATTCAAAAAGATTCCTGCACCCCCATGTTTATTGCTGCTTTATTTACAATTGGAAAGACATGGAAACAGCTCAAATGCCCAAAAGTAGATGGCTGGATTAAAAAGATGTGGTACATACACACAATGGAATATTACTCAGCAACCAAAAAAAAGTAAACGCATGCCTTTTGCAGCAACATGGATGGAGCAGGAAAAGATCATGCTTAGTGAAATAAGCTAGAAAGAAAAGAAAAAATAACAGATGGTTTCTTCACTCATAGCAGCAGTATAAACAGACCAAGCAAGAATATAATGAATATAATAATGAACAGCTATAGACCAGAGATATTTTATGGGGGTGGAGTGGGGAATGGGATCAAAAACAGTGGGGGGAGGGAAATGCACTGGACTATGGTGATGGCACATGGGTGATCTGGTGATGAGAAGCCCAAAGGGATTACAACTGAGATGGAAAAATGCACAAAATGATGTAAAAATAAACTCTTGTATTATGTTAAAAAAATGCTTCCTTTGGTAGATTAAGGAATTTTTTTAATTAAAAGGTAGAAGCTTTTAAGAGGAACAGGAGAAACTTATAAAACATATCTTTAAAATAGTCTTGCCATGGAGAGTACACCATGATACCTAGATCTTTCTGTGGGAAATAGTGAGAAATGATGAAGTTGGGGTCCTGAGAGCTCATTGTTCCCAAGCCCAAAGGATGTATTTGATAAGATAAAAAGCATATTCTAAGGTCACTACACTTAGTCCCTTTTGAAATATTACCCTTTGAGAGGACTCTCTTTTTTTCCCCAAAGATTGATTTATTTATGCATGCAGAACTGGGGTACAGGCCAGAGGTGCCGGGGTGGTGAGAGGCTTCACCAGAGACAGAGTTGGGAGCAGAACTGACAGATTGACTGAATCATACTGCTGAAGGGAGCATCGGGAGGGTCAGGAGAGGTCTTCCAGGCCACTTGGGTCTCCTCCGGGCTGGGGATTGAACTCGCACTGAAGTGCCTGTAGCTGGCTTGCAGTGCTGCGCCTTAACCCGCTGAGCCACCAGCGAGGGAGCAAACTCACTTTCTTTTATCTTCCTACCTAGTTCCTTCCTGGAGCCCATGCAGCTCTCCCTGATAACATGTTCACAGTGCATGAGGAAGGTGGGGCTCTGGGGCTTCCAGCAGATTGAGTCGTCCATGACTGACCTGGATGCCTCCTTTGGCCTGACCAGCTCGCCCATTGGCCCTGAGGGGCGGCCAGAGCGACTCCCACTGGTACCCGAGTCTCCTCGGAGGATGATGACTCGGAGCCAGGATGCCACGTTTCCCCCATGCTCAGAGCAGGTATGGATTTCATTGGCTTAAAGCAGCATTCTTGCTACAAGTGTTCCTGGCAGAAAAGTTGGAAGTTGGCATGAGTGGATAAGCTCCACTTCTAAGCACAGTGATCGCATCCCACTAGGACTTTTATTCACCAGTTACTATAAAGAAGTAAAATTCATTACTTTCTGTAGAAATATAATATGCCTTGAAGACTTTAGTTATGTAGACAGTTCAGAAACTGAATTCTTACAGTTGAACTATAAAGTGCTTAGCTTTCACTTGCTTCTAGAAATGTTTCCCCTGACCGCGGTCCTTAATACCACACTGTACCTCCATCCTCTCACCTTTCCTTCAGGCTGAAAGGAGCCCAGGTGCCATCATCTCCCGAACTCGGAGCTGGGACTCTTCCAGTCCTGTTGAGCGCCCTGACCCTGAGGCTGCTAGCCCCACTGCTAGAAGCCGCCCAGTGACCCGCAGCATGGGGACAGGAGACGCTGCTGGCATGGAAGTGCCGTCTAGCCCTCTCCGGAGGGCCAAGAGAGCTCGCCTCTGCTCTTCCAGCAGCTCGGTGAGCCCCCCTGCACATGCAGAAGTCAGAGCACAGACAGCCCTTGCGTGCATCTTGGACAGCATGCTGGTCCCTGGCCTTCCCAGCCTTGGGTGATAAGTCAGTCTGTGGACAAGTTGAAGGAAGGGGCAATTGGGTGACCAAAGAAGGAAAGTTTATGGAATTTACCATTGTTTCTTAGAATGGTACTAAATAGGCCCATGGGACAGCGATGGATGGGGAATAGACCTGATGAGATTTATCGGGAAGGAAGGGAGAGGATTTTAGAAATGAGAGGGGGAAAATTCATAGGGTTTATTTATTTATTTTTTAAGGTTTATTTATTTATGCATACAGAAGTGGGGTAGAGGCCAGAGGTGCAGGGGTGGTGAGAGTGCAGAGTGAGGAGCAGAACAGACAGATGGACAATGTACACTGCTGAAGGAAGCAGCAGGTGAGACAGGAGTGATCTGCTGCACCATGTGGGTCACCTTCGGGGCCAGGATCGAACTCATGCTGAAGCGACTGTGGCTAGCTTCATAGTGCTCTGCTTTAACCCAATGCGCCACCAGGGAGGGCCCCCGAAAAAAATACTTCAGGTTTAAAGGGGAACTGTTAGGAGATTCTGGACCTGGCCACAAGGAGCAGCACCTCCCTGAGGTTCCCTAACAGCTGCTCTTCATTCACATTTTTCTCTTCCTCCCTCAGGACACATCTTCCCGAAGCTTCTTTGATCCTACCTCTCAGCATAGAGACTGGTGCCCCTGGGTGAACATCGCAGTTGGCAAGGAAACCAGAGAGAATGGGGGCACAGAGGTAGATGCCAGCACCCCGGCAGAGCCAGGCTGGAAGGCAGTGCTGAACATCCTCTTGGCACACAAACAGTCTAACCAGCCAGCTGAAACCGACTCCTTGGTGAGATAAGCTGTTTGTTCCCTGTGTGTGCAGCACTTGCTGTTCATGGGGTGAGGAGCTGAGACTGGTCCTATAATTAGCCCCCTGCCTGCCTTCACCTTCCACATGCCAAGGTAGACAGCATTCTGCTTTCTTCCTAGAGAACAGGCATAGAACTGGTTCCACCCTTCCGCAGTGCAGGGTATGGCATCCCATCAAGTTCTGATATAGTCCTTGTCTTTGCAACTGAAATGACTCAAAGCAGAAAAGGAACACGTAGAAATAGACAGTAGACAGCTGCTCGGCCTCATGTTGCAGAACAGCTGTTTTTCCCATCACTTGCTGTCACTTGCAGTGGAAGCTGGCCTGTTAACCCAGCTGTCCGGAGCATGGTGCTCTGATACCCCGATGACCATTTCATTCCTCTCTGGGCACATTACTCTGCTCTGTGCTACGGCCCTGGACTGGTGTGCTGAACCTCAGCTCACCACCGCAGAGACGACCGCGGCTGATGACAAATGTGGATAAATGCAGCCCTCGTGACAGCTGGGAAAACAAGTGTCCGCTCTGTGGAGAGGGTGGAAGTGACAGGGTGGACACAGAACTGTGTCCTGTGTCCTGTGCTGGCTCATTCACAGCGTAGCTCTCCTTACGCATTTGATAATGTCTGTACCCTTCCTAAACAAAGGAAGATCTAGCCAGCAGGTGTCTGTAAGAAGCATTCCCAGATTCCTGGCTTTGGGAGTTGCAGGATTCTACTGGAGGAACTATACTCACACTAAATGCTCCAGCATAATTTGTACCCTTGATAAATATGCAAAGGTTGTCCAGATTTTTTACAGAAAAAATAACATGTTCCAACAGAGCTTTTAAAAACACATAAAGCTATCTGCAGACAAAGGTTCTACTCGCCTCTCTAGCCGGAGAGATTACATTTGTCCTTGCATGTAGCTTCTAGAGACACAGCCACGAAACCGCACAGTGTTGAGTGACTCCCCTGTCATCGCCTACCATCATGAGACCCTGAGGGCATTGTTTGTTGTTTAGTTTCTTTGTAGTGGGAAAAGTTGGCCTCATCGTTGGCCCTGGGTTCCAGGATTTTCAGGATCCTTTTTGGTAGCTGGTCTTTCTGCCTTCCCATTGCTACTCTGACTGGAAAATACAAAGCTTAATGAGACCATGGTAAAGGATCTTAATGTTAGAAAAAGTTGATTGGATCATTTCAACTTCAGCTTCTCCCACTTCTGTCATTATATTAACTAAATAACCCTCTGTCCCTCTCACTAACATTTCTCATACGGAAGAACACAAACTTTTCCCTTCTAGCACTTTATTTCCCCACAGAGAGGAAAATGCAATGAAAATGTCCCCTTCTGTCTGACATTCGCGTTGACTTCGTGAATTGTCTTGTTAGATGTTGTCTGTGCTCTCACTGAGCCCTTGTGCCTTTCACTGTGTCTCCAAGGCAGAGACAACCAAGTGTTCTGAGTCACTGCAACCTTCTGCCTTTTACTAAATTGCTTCGTCCTCCTTGTAACTTCATTTCTCAGGATCTCACCTCACTTCAGGGGCACGATCAAGTGGCAGTGAAATTCCTCCTATTATTAGCTCTGCTGGCTAAAACATCAGCTGAGGAGGCCAGGATCATCGCTCAAACTGCTGAGGGTCATTTAACTTTGTTTTATTCCTTGGCCTTGCGTGGCACTCTTTAGCCCAGCAAGGCGTCACGTGAATGTGGAGCCTGGGTCACAAGAAATAATGAGCTTGGGCAGTTTGGCATCGTGGTTGAGGAACAGAACTGTGTGCTTCACGGAGGTGGGCCAGCAGTGTCCTTCCGCATGCAGAGATAAGAAGGGAGCCTTGAGGGAGAAAGAGAGCCGTGCATTGCAGACTGGCCTGCTCGTGTTTAGTCTGGCCTTGGGCGTGCTTGCACTCATCTCTAGACACACACAGATCATTGTGGGAAAACTGACACCGAGTCCTTCATCTCTATGAAAGAATTTACTATCTGATAATGATCTTTTCTACCCATAGAGCCTGTCTGAGAAATCAAGGAAAGTCTTCCGAATATTCCGACAGTGGGAGTCTCTGTGTTCATCCTGATGACATTCCAGCCTCCCCTGGAGAGAAATAGAGTGAGTGACTGAAAAACGAAGTCTGAATTCCCACTCGTTCAGCAGAAGCGATTTTCTCCATTCTGGCTTAGTCGTAAAGTGCCCCTGTCCTTGTAACGAGTGTCACTGTCAGTGTCTGCATCTGCCCGGGGGAGCCATTTCTGCAGAGGACGTGACCAGGACGTGCTGCAGGAGCCTGGCTGTGTTAAAGGACGTGGGGCCGTGAGGCTGGATGGGACCGACAGAGGACTTGCACGCCTACAGCACTGTGTGTGTGTGGTGGCATCGGAGGGCTCTTATGTCCAGGAATTATTAATATCGTATGTTAATAAAACGCTTGTTAGCAATCTTGCTGCCGGGCAGTGGTTTTCTTCCTCACCTTCAAGGCTGATGTAAAGGAAAGTGGAGCAGTCAACAAAATCAAATTTTTAGTTTGTGGTTTGGCGCCAAAGCCTAATTTTATTTGTGAGAGTTTTGTTATGTCACCAGGTGATCTCTCCAGGCTATAATGTAGGATAAGCAGGTCATTCTCTCTTCCCTTTGATGATAACAAAGGGAACAGGAGACTTAGCCAGGGGAGGAAGGCACTGCCGAAGAAACACATGGCCGGGGATTCCCAAAGCCGGTGATGGGACATCAGTCTCCTTGATGGGGAAGATTGATCCTGGCCTACCACATCTAAATATGGCTTCTCAGGCCCTCCCTGGTAGCACAGCGCTTCAAGCACAGCGCTATGAAGCTGTCACAGTCACTGCAGCATGAGTTCGATCCCTGACCAGGGGGGTGACCCACATGGCACAGCAGACCTCTCCTGTCTCGCTCACAGTTCCCCTCAGCAGTGTGTTTCGGTCAGACTGCCTGTTCTACTCCCTGCTGTCTCTTACCCCCCCACACTTGTGGCTTGTACCCCAGTTCTGTATGTATATATCAATAAATCTTTGAAAAAATAAAACAGATGGCTTCTCACTGATAAAGTAACTGTGACCATGAAGGCTAGCAACTAGCTATTTTCTGAAATTCCATAGTTTAGTAACTATTTTTGAACTCACTTCTTTTATACTGAAGTATTCTGTTACTATTTTTTAAAAAGGTTTATTTGTGTATGCATACAAGAACTGGGGTATAGACCCGAGGTGCAGGGGGTGAGACAGAGTGGAGAGAACAGGCAGATTGACTGAAATATACTGTTGAGGGGAGCAGTGGGGGGTCAGGAGAGGTCTGCTGTGTCATGTGGGTCACCTCCCCAACCGGGGATCGAACTCATGCTGCAGTGGCTGCAGACAGCCTCATAGTGCTGCACTTTAACCTGTTGAGCCACCGGAGAGGGCCCTAAAATTTCTTTACATTTGATTTGTTCTAGCTTGGATCTAATTCAAGATTAGATTATGGGGCCCTCCCTGGTGGCACAGCAGGTTAAAGCACAACACTAACTTAAAGCCACTTCAGCATGAGTTTGATCCCCGCTCTGGAGGTGACCAACATGGCGCGGCAGACCTCTCCTGACCCACCTGCCGCTCCCCTCAGCAGTGTACTTCATCAGTCTGCCTGCTCTGCTCCCCACTCTGTTTCTGGCGAATCCTCTCACCACCCCTGCACCTCTGGCCTGTACCTCAGTTCTGTATGCATGAATAAATAAATCTTTAAAAAAAAATTACATAGATCTCTTTAGTCCAAGAAAGTCCTTTAAGTGTCATTCTTCAGTCCTGAGCTTTAAAGGGTAAACAGTGTTGCATCTCTCCTAAATTAAACCTCTGTCTTAGATGAAACCAGCAGGGGCCGTTTCTGGTAATCTTCCTAAGGGTTTGCTTTAGCCTTTGGCAAAGTGCCTTCTGGCTCAGAGGTACCATTTTGCCTTGACCATTAGGTGAGTTATAATGCTGCCTTCTAAAAGTTCATGGCCTCTGGGTCATAATTTGTTAAGGAGTGGTGTAGAATCATTGACTTAAGATATTTACATAGACTACCAGTCTTTTAAGTCTTTCCCACTACAATTTGTAATCATCTCCAAAGAAACCTATTCATATTTATTTTTTTGTAAAGATTGATTTTATTTATGCATACACAAACTGGGGTACAGGCCAGAAGTGCAGGTGCAAGGGGTGAGAGGATTCACCAGAGACAGTGGGGAGCAGAACAGGCTGACTGAAATACACTGGTGAAAGGAACAGCAGGTGAGACAGGAGAGATCTGCTGTGCCATATGGGTGACCTCCCTGGCTGGGGATCAAACTGCTGCTACAGTGGCTGTAAGAGCTTCATAGTCCTGCACTTTAACCCCTTGCACCAGGGAGGCCCTATTCACATTTCTTTAAGTAGGCAACATTCCAGAGTGGTTAGTTTTATTTATACATGCAAGAACTGGCATACAGGCCAGAGGCACAGGGGGTGAGAGACTTCAGAGACAAAAGTAGGGAGCAGAACAGACAGATTGAAATACACTGCTGAGGGGAGCAGCGGGAGAGACAGGAAAGGTCTGCTGCGCCATGAGGGTCAGCTCCCTGGCTGGGGATCAAACTCATGCTACAGTGGCTGTGGAGAGCTTCATGGTGCTGAGCTTTAACCTGCTAACACCACCAGGGTGAGCCCCCACCATGGTTTTTGTCATTGATTTTGCTTTTGTGTTCTTTTAATTACAAATGGAAGCAAATTGGAATAGACTTGGTGTTCAAGAAACATTAAGCCTCTTCCATGTGTGAGGCACTGAGTAAATCCTTCACACCAAGCAGAATGAAGGATGACTTGTTTCTACCATTAAATTTACAGTCCAGGGCCCTCCCTGGTGGTGCAGTGGGTTAAAGCACAGGACTAAGAAGCTAAAGCCAGTTCCACATGAGTTCGATCCCCTCCTGCCCCGGAGGTGATCCACATGGCGCCGCAGACCTCTCCTGACCCGTCCGCTGTTCCCCTCAGCAGTGTACTTCGTTGATCTGCCTGTTCTGCTCCCCACTCTGTCTCTGGTGAATCCTCTCACTGCCCCTGTTACCTCTGGCCTGTACTTCAGTTCTCTATGCACAAATAAATAAATCTTAAAAAAAAAAATACAGTCCAGGCTAGATTTATACACAGATTTGCCCAATACAGAATGCTAGTTACTCTGGAGAAGCATCAAAGAGGAGAAATGAATTCTCATGCTTGGAATGGAGAAAATTTTGAGGACAAGATAGATTTGAGCTGGACCTTCGAGATAAGTGGAGAAACTGGGCACTTATTTATAATCTCTGCACTAAAATATCCAAGTGGTAGATACTTAATAAGAGAACTTTTGAGGATGAAGGAACATAGTAAACAAAAGAGAGAAAGAAGCAGGATGGAGAGCCAGAAGGAGACCTGAAGAAGCCACATGGAGCAGAGAGACATGTGAAGAAACTGTGCTTGTTTCTTGGCCCTGGATTGGTTGAAACAGATGTGAATCAAGAGAGTGTGCTAATTAAGAAAGCATTCTTGAGCATTCGGTAAAACTAAGACTGGCTGAGAATCTGGAACAGAACACCCTCATGTATCCAAATAGTGCAGGCCAACAAGAGGGTTCACAGTCCTCACAGTGGCTGCTCATTTTTCAGACAGAAAAATAACCATGGAAAATGGAGTGAAAATAAATGCAAGACTAGTGGTTAAATGGACACCTTTCAGATGCAAGGGGTGCTCACTTTTGTTACAGTTCTGGAGGCAAATTTGAGTTGAACCATGTTTTAGCAACCGTGTTTTAGCAGAAAGCAACCAACCAGACCCTACTGATTTGCATTTGCTAATTCTTTCTTCCTCACCCCGTACATTTTGTTTAAAGGTCTGTACATTGGGAGACTAATTTGAGCCTTGCTTCAAGCCTGCCAAGTGACCTTTCATTGACAGGGTTATTTTCTCAGAAATTGATAGCCTGGTCATTGGCTTCTGTGCCAACAGGCTCTGGTCCCATTTTCAGCAATATCTAAACTATAGTCCTTACTATGGTGGTGGCACACGGGTGATTTGGTGATGGGATGCCCACGGGATTACAACTGAGATGGGAAAAGGCACAAAATGATGTAAAAAATAAACATTATTAAATTAAAAAAAACAGCAACATTTTCATATTCACGACAGAACAGTCAATCCACTATGGTGGCCTTTGCATGGAGAAGGAGCTAAAGGAGAAGATTACCGTTGGCTTACACTGAAGTCTCGAATGGGCTATTTCATCCTTGTGGATAATTCCCATAAAAGTTTTTGTGTTGGCCTTTCTAGAAACTCACTTCTCCTGAGTTGATTTTTTTTTTTTAAGATTTATTTATTTATGCATATAAGAACTGGGCAACAGGCCAGAGGTACAGGGACTGAGAAGATTCACCAGGGACAAGAGTGGGGAGCAGAACAGGCAGATTGATGAGACACACTACTGGGGGAGCAGCGGGCGAGACAGGTGATGAGGTCTGCTGCACCATGTGGGTCAGCTCCCTGGCTGGGTGTGGCTGCAGTGGCTGGAGATAACTTAATAGTGCTGCACTTTAACCCGTGGCGCCACAAGGGAGGGCCCTGATTGCTTTTTATTTTTTTCTCTTTTGGTAGATCCTTTCAAAAGAGGTAATTACCTAAATTTCATTTTTGCTACTTTATAGCCCGCAAAGGTAGAATTATAAAGCATCAGTCTATGGAATTTTCCCGATTGCATTAGCCGTATCAGGGAGCTGGCGAATGTTGCGTAATCTCTGTTGATGACATGTCTCCTGCTGGTAAATGGAACTAATACCTTGCTCTCTACCCTCCACGTCAGTCTTGGTCCCACTGGTCAGGGCAGGCGGCGATATCTTGAAGAACCTCTGCTATTCAGGGCTACCCAGATGCCCTGACTTGGCCAGTCCTCCCAACCTTCAGGTTCTCCTACTATTCTCCACTAAAGCCTCTGGGGACCTGTGTCTTAATGGGGGTTGCATTTCCCATCTAAGTAGATTGGTGCCCCTCCCTGCCCAGGTTAAGATGAACTTCAAAGACATTTAATAATAAGCCCTGTCGTGGCTGGCTGCCTTGAAATCCACGCTTCCATGCTTCCCAGCCTCTGTGCTCTGATTTTCCTTTCCCCAGCTCAGCCCTGATGAGCTTCTCACAGCAAAAAGGATTATCTTACAACTACTCAGAGGCACCAGTCTCCAGAAATGAGTCTTCTGCCTGGCTCTGTTTACATTTTAGTCAACTTTTTTTCATAGTCTTAGCAGGGGAGACTTTGGGGCTTTCCTCATTTCCTCGCCCTTCTCAGGCCAGTTGCTGCTGCCTCAGAGCTAGCTTTTGAAACCTTCCCCACCCTTTTCCATCTGAGCGACAAAATAGCTGCTGTACAGCCCGACTAACAACACAAGTACAAACACTTCCTCCTCAGT